TACCTGTGAAACCAAACACCCAGAAATAAACAGGCGAGGGCAATCTTGACATCAAAAGTGGGCGTTTCCCCTCAGGATTGGCCGTTTCAGTCGAACCTGGTTTTGAAGGATTTGCATGACTTTTGTAGTGGGATATCATGGAGCCTTCCGAAAGTTATTGAAATGGAGCACATCTACATTGGAATAGCATGGAGCCTTGAGAAAGCGTATTGGAAGGGAACATAAGGGAACCCATCTACAGGTTGTAGGTCCTTATACGGCATAACATACGCAATGTAAGGCACATCCTGGAAACTTACCGTGCAAGGCAGGCCCCCAATTTGGCTGCTTCTTATCCAAAATCAAACCTCAAACTTATCGAAAGAAACCCCCAGCTGAATCATACGTAACCCGAAACATAAATTCTTATGACCCATCCAAACCTGAAGTTCCCTTGATCCTTTGCCCTCGATGCGGCTGCTGCTTCGGGATCTTCTTTGATCCACAAGGACACCTGGGCCGGAGTGGGTTTCGGGGCGTTTGGACTCCTGGGAATTGTTGGAGGGATTTCCAAGAATCATGCACATACATATAAGTTGAGGCAACCCAAAAACCTGTTGATAAAAGAGGAAAGGGACGTGAAACATCCGGTCAATCCAGCCATGACAAGTCCAGTAGCGAAAGCTCTTCCCTGTTCAGCAATGATTGTACCCAAGCATCATAGCGCTGAAGTGTTTTGATGGCCACTGCTTTTGCACTGACACGTCGCGAGATACGAGCAGTGAATCCAACGAAATCCTCTGACATGAATGTGGCCTCAGCGCACGGATTGATAGCTGTGCCACTAGCCTCCCACTGTTCCTTGATGGTGAGGAAGATGTGATTCAGGTAATGAATCTTTGGTCGGAACTTGAATAGGCAGAGCTTCTTCATATAGGAACTGTTTGCCAAATGCTGGTAGCCCATGAGAAAACCATGTCCTGCGCGTATGATGTACACGCAATCGGATGATGCCATGAAATACTCGCTCTCCAATAATCGTTTCATTGCGCAACCGAGTTCTATCCCTGCCAGCAAGATGTGGGGCAGCAAATCGTCAGCGCGCACCGCTTCCTCATGCGCTTCAAGCTGCAGCAGCCAAACAACAAATTTCATGAGAGTTGCTGTGTCCATGTTCTTGGACCAGTGTCCTTCTGGATAGTCTCGCGTGCCAGTGTAACCCAAGTGGTCTTCAGTGAGGTTCCTGCCTAGATGGAGGTAGTTCCCAGAAACTTGAAGAAACATATGCAGATGCAAATTGAGTTCTGCAAGATCCTTCTTGATGGACCCAAGGCCAAACAAAGTCTTCATAGCATATACGAGGGCACTGCCGACAAAGTCTTTGCCAACGCCTGCGTGCAGAACATGGAATAGATCTGGTCTGAAAAAGGCAGGGGCATCATCCCCAGTCATCATCCATTGAAGGAGTGGCCCGCCGCTTCCTGACCATGGCAACGGAACATTCTGAACACCCTGCGTTGCAATCCACGCAGGTTCTGAGAATCCAAGGTGCTCAAATGGAATGCTTTCAGCCGGGGTTTCTTTCCCAGCTTGGCATAACCAACAACATCCAACCTGGTTTCGATTTGATGAGTGTGTCTTGCGCACATTATTGAAACTTCGGGTGAACTTGCCAACCTTCTTCACGAAAGGGGAATCACCAGTGAAGGCGATGACAGTAACGTGAAACGTCGTACCATCAACAGAGAAACCGTCCAAGAAAAGCGATTGCAGCTTTCGGCCCCACAGATTCATGAGAGCATCAAAAGCGGCCGGGTCCGTTTTGGAAATCGAGCTGCCCAGCACACTGAACAGAAATCGTGTAGACCCAGAATTACCACGCATGTTAATGCCCATTCGCACATGCCCCTCTTCAGTTCTCTTGTGCTCACCCAGCGCGATAGGATTTAGTTTTGT